TAGAGAAGAACGCACAGGCTGCTTGCCAGGGGTGGGCTGTCCTGGCCCTGACGGCGGCCCCTCGGGGGCGTCACCTCCCCTCTTGCTGCCTCCGCTTACCTTGACCACGTCGTCGTTGAGATGCTTGGGGTCGCGGTTGACCAAGTCGATCTCCTTGGTGTGCGCGTCATACACTTGCTTTTCGTTCACTTCTTCTGCCATGGCCTTGTTGTTGGGCTTGTAGATGTTGCCCTGTTCGCGGATAGGAGCTGTATAGAGATGTCCCTGCGGAAGACGGACCGCCAGGAGGGAGAGGGTGGCACCGGCGGTGGCAAGAGAATTTAAAAAAAGAAAAGCGATAAGAAGCCAACCTAGCAGCGGGGAAATACTCGAGGCTTGAAATCGAACTAATCGCGCCTGCAGCTGCGGCTCCGCGCACAGTCAACTCTTCGGCGCCGCAAGCTTTTTAAGAGGATCCAGGCTAGGACACCACACCCCTCGGTACCAGGCTGGGAGCTCCAGCCTCCCCCACCGCCGCCAGGGGTCAGGGCGAGCCCCGCGGCCGGGTCCGCCCCAGCCCACGCCCCGCGCGCACCCTGCGCGCAGTACCCGGCGGGGACCCCTAGCCGGGAGGGGGCCTCCCAGGTCTCTGACTTCGCTCCAGCCCCTCTCTCCGCCACGCCACCCTCGTCCCCAGTGCTTCACCTGCTCCAATTCCTTTCCCCAGTCCCTCCATAATCCCCTTCTCTCCATAATCCCTTCCAACTTCATCCATATGGTCCATCCTGAACACCCTACCCAAGGAGTCTCCCCATTTTCGTTGGTTCCTGACCGCTTGCACCTGCCCGCGTGCCCCACCCTACTTCTGCCCTCTGTTGACCCCCCTCCCCCACCAAGTTTCCCCCTCCCTCTAGAGTGGTTACAATCCTGCGTCCCCTAGTCTCTGGGCCGAGCCACGTGCCAAAGCCCCCTAGACTCCCCATCCGTGCTACATCTCACCTGCACTCCTCCCCCGACCCACCCTCAGGTAACTCCAAGACTACAGGCCAGTGACTGAACCGCGGCTGCGTTTCGGAAAACGAGTTCTCCACACCCGGGAGGATGCCAAACGTGGGGAGGTGGTTGCAAGGGGTGGTGGTAGTGGCGGAGAGCGGTCTCCAAACACCCCTGCCAGGCGCCAAGATGCAGGAAGAGTTCTTGAGATAGCCCAAGAGCTTTGGAAAGTGCAAACACGGCGCGCGATCCAAGCGCCTGTCCCCAGGCCTGCGGGTAATCGACCTACTCCCTCCCCCAGCGCTCCAGCTCCCCGCCTCGCAACAGGTAGGGGCTGGTCCGTGGGGGTGCCGCGACAAGGGAGCGTTGCAGATGCATCCAGAAAATGCGTTCTCGGGCCGGCAGACCCAACCTCAGGATCCCGACCCTCTTTTCCTCGTTCTCCTATCTCAGGGGCCGCGCTGACCACCACCCCACCCCCACCCCATAGGAAAACATTCCTGGCTCCTCTTCACCTCCCCCGCCCAGGTCCATTCCTTAGCAGTGTCAATGCGCAAGGAGTGCCCCAAAGTCAAGAGAGGGCTGGGTCTGGAAAAGCAGCCGGAATATGTGGAGTAGGCGCAGGTACTCCACGTGCGCCCCGCGCCCCGTGCCCAGGACCGCAGCCTACCTCGGAGTCTACGTATTTGCCCCGAGACATGCTGACCGGTGGCTGAATGAAGGCTCTCAGGAGGCTTCCCCAGGCTGTGATCTAAGGGAACTGAGGAAGGAAGATCTTGTATTGTATAGGGGAAAAAAAGGCGCTGGCGGCGGGCGTTGGCTGGGAGCGCGCCTCCTGGCCGCGCGCCAGGAGCTTGTACTGCTCGCGGTTGGCCGGGACGTGCGCCGCGCCGGGTCTAGGCACATCCCCAAAGTTCTGGCAGCAGAGGGCGGGGAGGGCCTGCAGCGAGCGGAGAGCGAGTGGGAAAGCTTTGCGCCCGCAATGGGCTGTTTGCGCAGATGTTTTAAACCTGGGGCAACATTTTCCTAGCTCTGAGCCACCAAGAGGCATCCTGAGGAGAGCGAATGCTTTCGCAGTGCATCATTCCAGCAGGGGTGGGGGTGCACGAAGCCGACCGGCCTGAAGAGATGCCCAGTATGGGCACCCGAGCCGTCGGAAGGAATTCACCCCTGTTCCAAGCCGTTTTTCCCATCGTCCACGTTTCACTGCTGCCTAAGAAACATGTGTCTCCCCTTTTCATAGAGGAATGGGTGAAAAATGGTTCAGAATCTTTAGGTGCATTTCACAGCGAAACACAAAGAAGGAATTTGTGTGGGTGCGAGTGTGTGTGCTTTTGGTGACACTCGCTTACGTCTAGTCGGTGTGGATAAAAACTTGGATAAACCGGCAGGAACAATTTAATGTTTCACGACCACTTCTGAAATGTTTCCCAAACGCTTTTAAATGAATACAAATGTTTAACGTTTCTTTAATTTTACTACTGATCTTTTCTTGAACAATGAAAATTCATACCAATAGGTTATGCCATATTTATAAAATAGATAAAATATTTAATTGTAGAAATGTTTAATTAAAGCTTGGAGTTTATTACCGGAGAATAATTTAAAAAAAAAAAAAACGTGTTTGGCTGTGAGTTAGGGGAAACTTGGATTCTCTAGTGTTATGGATTGAATCGTGACCGCCCGCGCCAACCCCCGCAAATATGTGTCAACTTGGCTGGACCAAGATTCCCAGTGTTGTGTGATTGTTCACCATTTTGTCATCTGATGTGATTTTCCTTTGTGTTGTAAATCCTACCACTATGATGTTAATGAAGTGGGAATTAGCGGCAGTTATGTTAACGAGGAGGGACTCAATCTACAAGATTAGGCTGTGTTTAAGTCAATCTCTTTTAAGATATAAAAGAGAGACTGGAGCAGAGAGACAGGGGGACCTCATACCACCAATAAACAAGAGACAGGAGAACAGCGCGTCTTTTGGACACCGAGTCCCTGCGCTCAGAAGTTCCTAGACCAAGGGAAGATTGATGACAAGAACCTTGCCCCAGAACCGATAGAGAGAGAAAGCCTTCTCCTGGAGCTGGAACCCTGAATTCGGACTTCTAGCCTACTAGATTGAGAGAATAAACTTGTTTGTTAAAGCCATCCACTTGTGATATTTGTGTTACAGCAGCACTAGATAACTGAGACACCTAGTAATTGACTAGGGTATTTTTAAAAACTTGTCAGCAATTAAAACATTTTATCTATCCCTGAATTGGGGCTTCTTTCTTTACCTTATCGTAAGCAGCACAAGATGAATTAAGCTACTCATCATTTTATTTTTTGACTATAATAAGACAGGAAATTCACTCTCCAAAAATGGAAAGAACTTTTTCCCTAAGGTTTCATAGGTAATTAAAAGTCAATTACATACATATATATTTACTTCAAGTGATAATTGACATATATATATGACAATTATCACTTGAAGTAAAAAAGCTGGGAATGCACCTGAAAGGGCACAGGTTAATTAAAAATACTGGCAATCTAGGAGGGAGCAATATAGGATCATAATAGTATAGAAGTAGAATAGAATCATACAGTATAGAAGAGTATAGAATCATAATAGAGTAGATTATCTAGTTGGAGAGTAAAAGATACGAACATATTTAAAACCCATTGCCCTTGAGTCAATTCCACCTTATAGTCGTATAAGGACAGAGTAGAACTGCCCCATAGAGTTTCCAAGGAGCTCCTGGTCGATTTGAACTGCTGACCTTTTGATTAGTAGCCATAGCACTTAACCACTATGCCACCAGGGTTTCCAAACATATTAAAAGGAAACCATAAAGGACAGGCTATTGATGGTAGCAAAAAGGTAATAACAATTTTTGATAAAAAAGATCAGTTTCAACCAGGAGTGCCAAGGAAAGTGTCACCAATGTTGGTATGACTTTCAGTATGCTGGATATTCATCACTAGAAGACTAAAGATCTTTTAAAAGTTTGATTTTCTTCATTTTATTTCTGCCAAATTGCCTCTCTAAATTCTTTGAACAAATTGTGTGTTAACAAACATGATATGCTAGAAAAAGATGGTGCCAGGTTTAGTATGTTGTGTAGTGCCTAGTCCACCTCTAATGATTACTGTTGGTTTAATTCTTCCTTCATAAATATTTGCTGTAAAACAGCTGGAGTTATGTTCTATGGAAAAATGTCCAAAGCATTTCCCATCTATTGTTATTCAGTCTTCAGCTGCGGATGAGTAACCTTGACCATGGAAAAAAAATATCAACAGAAACATGGAGACAGCTTGTCCTGCATTCCAGCAAGGAAAGGACTTTCTGGAGGGGCTGGTGAGTGAATGCTTAACCAGTACTCTGCTGAGGGAAAACCAAGCCTCCTGGGGAAGTCCATGGAGAAGGTGAATAAATAGCAATCATGATGATCAGTGAGGCGTTGTCAATGCCCAAATGAATTCCTGATGAGAGGAAACACCACAAACTCTTTATTAACCTGCCTCAACAAGAAGCTGGCATCAGAGAGAAACAGATCTTACTCTGCTTATAATAGCAAACTTTGAGTAATAGCTCCACCTTTATGAGAAAGAAAAGATGAAGAAGAATATTGTTAGCACAATTTGAAATGAATAGATGATATAAAAAATAAAAATATTATTTCTTTGATACTCACGCAGATAACTGTATGCTTGGAGGCAAGTTAATAGCTTTCTCCAAATCATTTACTAAGAACTGGGTAGATGGCAACTCATTTCCCACTACTTTTTTTTTTTTTTAGAAGTAGCATTAAAGGTCAGCTCATGTATCAAAGTTTATGAGAAAAGTATAAGGGACACAGGTCAGCTAGTCCAACCATCCTAGAGATGAGGAAAATGGTATTTAAATATGTTAAATTGTTTGTTCTTTAGAAGGTTTATTGGGTAATGAAACATTTTAAAGTTGATAAATGACCACAGCAGCAGTTAACTAATGGACGTATTTGACTGTATTTAAGTAGTATGGTAGTATAAATTTGACTATATTTAAGTAGTATAGGCAGGGCCTACTCAGGGCAAAATTGTGAAGTGAAGTTAGTTGCACTTGGTGTTCTCTCATCTCCTTCTCTGTGCCCCCCTTTCCGCTGGCATGACTTCCTCTTCCCATGTTTACCATCCCAAGTCCTTTTTTACTTTCCGGCCAGGTGCCATGGAGTTGACTCCTACTCATGGCAACCCATGTGTATCAGGGTAGAAATGTGCTCCATAGGGTTTTCAACGGCTGATTTTTTCGAAATAGATCACCAGGCCTTTTT